AAATTAATATTTTAAAATAAAAATTAAAAATTAGCATATTTAAATAAAATAAAATTAAAAATTGACGTATTTATTTAAAAACTAGTAAAGTTAATATTAGTTTAACTTTACTAGTTTTTAAATAAATATGTCAATTTTTAATTGAATCTGTTAGTGTGTGATAAGCAAGGTTATATGGTTGGGACATTAAATGGTTTGCAATCTTGGACAATATGGCTGGCAAGAAATGAGGTAATATTCCAGAACAAACACTTGGACAAAGCAAAACTATTTGACTTGGTACAAGCTCATTCATTCTAGTGGCTTAAACTCAAAGGTGAAAGGAAATGGATCACACTCTCCGATTGGATACAGCAACCAAGATTGAGCACTCTTACAACCTTCACAAAAAAGAGGGCAGACATTTGACAAGGACCATACAATGGAGCCAAGTGTTATTCAATCTGTTAGTGTGTGATAAGCAAGAATGATTTGAAAGATGAGATTAACATTGATGGGCTTATATGAAGAAACTGCAAAAGAGAACAAAAATCTAAGACCGGTATAGTATCGACACATAATTTTGGTGTCGACACCATATGGTAAGCATTCAAAACTCCGACACGGACATGGTGTTGAAACATAATTCAAGGGTCAACACCATATGGAAGGGTTATTTCACTCATATGATATGAAGCTTTTCAAATTATGATATTTATGGATTTGGAGTACCCCTTGTATTATATTTATTAATAAATATTATTTTTTGCTGTTTAAAAAAAATAAGTACAGTTAATATTTTTAAATAAAAAATGTAAAGTTATTATATTTATTTGTATATTTTCTCCAAAAAAATGGTGTCATAAATTGAAAAACATAGTTTAGAAATCAAAACTCAATAGATAAATTCCAATGCAAACCTTGGATTTTCATTTACTGGGATAACAAATTGTATCCCTTTGCCCCCAACATTATCTTCCATCTCTTTCATGTGGTCAACCTTCCTTCCTTTCCTGATTGTGACCAATGCTCTGCCCCATACGGCAAACCCTTCAATGCCACTGCCACCAATCACTCGGAGCTCATGTATCGTACTTTTTTCCTATGTTGAAGTGAAAAAATCCCACATGGAGTATTAAAGTAAGAAGCTTGTGGGTTAAATACAAGGAATGCCACTCTAGCTAATGCTAATTGATTTTAGGTTGGATACAAGTCTTGTGCTGAGTCCACATGCATAGTTTTCAACCGCCTATATAGGCTCTTCCATATTTATTTTGAGGTTTTTCTTTGTAGTGGGATTCTTTGTTTTGCATGTTGGTTGGGTTTAAACATCAAATGATGGGGGAGGAATCTACTCGAGAAAGGGGAACGTATAAAGAGAGATATTAGGGAGGCCAAACCCCATATTTGCACCCTCCATTTAATTCTTTCCGCGGTCAACACCTTCCAAAATTTTTCTTCCCTATTCACACCCTTAACTTTTCAAAACCCGTGAAAAACCCAATATTTTAATGCGCCGTCACTGCACCATTAATAATCGTTAAAAATTGTAATACGTGACATTAAATAGTAACATGAACGTTATGTCACTTTATTAATCCAATGTGAACTTTTTTTTTTTTAATGATGTGGCATAATTAAATCATAATTAATTTTAATTTCTTCATTTTTCTTCTTTCCTAGCATCATCTTTACCATCTTCCTCTTCATCCTCCTAGGTTCCCCATGGAACCAGGAACCCAGGAGGTTATGTCACATTTATTAATCCAATGTGGACTTCTTTTTATATATATATATATATATAATGTATTATAATTAAATCATAATTAATTTTAATTTCTTCATTTTGTTCTTTCCTGGCATCATCTTCACCATCCTCGTCCTTATCCTCCTGGGTTCAGGAACCCAGTTTCACATGAATGCCTACCAAGCTAAGATCTTCATCCACACAATTATAAGTAAATGAATATTGCACAAAAACATGATATGCATCTTCCACCCCTTTCCCACAAAAAAACAAAAAAAACCGTTATTGCCATTCATGTTAATCCCACTTGAACTCAAGTTGGCAACTTGTTTAGAAACAATCTCCAAGCAAAAAAACTCATCTTTCCAACAAAAAAATTATTCCAAATTGCTTTGCATAAAATAAGAAACTAAGATAAATACAGTCAAAATAAAAAAATGAAAAAAAAAATGGTCGAAACCTAGAATCTGGGTTTCACATAGGAACCTAGAAATTGGGTTCCCTGCCAGGAACCTAGAATTTGGGTTCCATGTAGGAACCCATAACTGGGTTCCCCGCCAAGAACCTAGAATTTGGGTTCCACGAAGGAACCCAAAAACTGGGTTCCATAGAACCCATTGTTAAAGAGGATGGTGAAGATGGTGTCGAGGATGATGGGGAAAGAAAAAGATGAAGAAATGCCACATCATAAAAAAAAAAGTCCACATTGGATTAATAAGGCGACATAACGTTTATGTTACTATTTGGTACTACGTATTATAATTTTTTATTGGTCTCATTGTACACGTGGCGTCCACGTGTGTAGAAAATAAGCCACACCATAAAAAAAGGGATCCACATTGGATTACTAATGCCACATAGTGCCACGTCGATTTTTGGGTGGCACTTAGTGCATTTTTTAACGGTGCCATGATGGCGCGTTAAAATATTGGGTTTTTCACGTGTTTTGAAAAGTTGAGGGTGTGAATAAGGAGGAAAAATTTTGGAAGGTGTTGATCGCAGAAAAGAATTAAATGAAGGTTGCAAATAAGGGCTATGGCCTATTAGGGAAGAGTGTCTATGAAAATCAGAGGATGAAGGGGACTTTTCTTTGGACAGTTTTATGACTCCACAAGTCAACATCTAGTTTGCTTCTCATCCTTTAGTAATCCAAGAAGATCCCATTATTCTTTGTTTTGCGTGTTGGTTGGGTTTAAATATGAAATGATAGGGGAGGAATCTACTATAGAAAGGGGAATGTATAAAGAGACATATTAGGGAAGAGAGTGTGTGAAAATTGGAGGATGAAGGGGACTTTTCGTTGGACAGTTTTATGACTCCACGATTCACCGTCTAGTTTGCTTCGTCTCATCCTTTAGTAATCCTGGAAGATGCCATTATTCTTAGTTTTGCGTGTTGGATGGGTTTAAATATCAAATGATAGGGGAGGAATCTACTCTTGAAAGGGGAACGTATAAAGAGAGATATTAGGGAAGAGAGTGTGTGAAAATCGGAGGATGAAGGGGACTTTTCTTTGGAAAGTTTTATGACTCCACAATTCAGCATCTAGTTTGCTTCTCCTCCTTTAGTAATCCAAGAAGATCCCATTATTCCTAGTGCTTCCGTTGCAATATTTAACTATATGTTTAGATAAAATTTAAAATTAAAATTAAAAAAGGAAAAGGAGAAGAAGAGAGGAAAAG